TCCCGGGAAATTTAAATGGCCAGATGGGTATTGAGCCCCATTCCGGTGTATTCTGTCCGCCGGGTTCTGCTGATGTCGGCGGGATTCCGGAACCTTCCATCTCTCCTCTCCGCCTCCCTCTTATCACAGCCACCTTCTTGCCCTCAGTACCATCGGCCCGGTGCAGATACAAGTGACGTAGCGAGTGTTTACCAGATCGGCAGCGTCCATGATGACGAGGAGGAAAGTCGCTTTTATATCATAGCGATACTGTAATAGCAAAATCTGCTGAGACCCCATCCCCCGCGCTACAACTACCCTCTGGTCTTACAGCGTTGGGGTCATGGACTCAGTTCACCAGGAATATTATCTGCATGGAGTTTGTGTTTAATATCGGTGACCTTTCACGCTGTTTTTCTTCTAAGGGACAGTTGGGCTGGGGAGGAAAGGGATAGATGATGCTGGACATCCTCCAGCCATGGTCAGAGACTTGTAATATACCCCCCCACTTCCAGGTTTCATTGTAATATATCCCCCCCACTTCCAGGTGCCATTGTAATATATCCCCCCACTTCCAGGTGTCATTGTAATATATCCCCCCCACTTCCAGGTGTCATTGTAATATATCCCCCGGATGCCTCCAAAGCGCTGATAAGTCTTCTATGAAGCTCCGCGTACTGTCTGTGATGTGGACCGGCTGGGTGTGACTATGCAATGTGCACAGATAACACATCACACCTCCTTTATCTCCTGCACGCACCGTGCGTCCCTCTGCTTCGCATGCTGCCGTGTCTGCAAGATAGTCCCTGCCGACTCAGCACAACGGTGACGGCAGCAAGTGCTGAGAATGCGTCCTGCGGGTCCCGCGCGGCGACGTCCTTTATACGTGATACATTTGTCCCGAACTATATCATCTGCAGTTCCCCCCAGTACAAAGCAGCTACCCCCTTCACCAGACATCTCCGTCACACGTCTTCACTCATCTAACCCCTTAAAGTGTAACTCCACAACCCCCTCTGGGTGATCCGTGTACATTGTGAGGATTGTAACAAACTTTGTTGCAGAGCCCGACCTCTCTGTGTTCTGAAGAAAAAGCTGTTTGTCTGCCCATGTCCTTTCCAGACTGATTCCTGAATGGGAGGAGTCTGATTCCTGAATGGGAGGGGTCTGATTCCTGAATGGGAGGGGGTCTGATTCCTGAATGGGAGGGGTCTGATTCCTGGATGGGAGGGGTCCGATTCCTGAATGGGAGGGGCTTATTCCTGGATGGGAGGGGCTTATTCCTGGATGGGAGGGGGCTTATTCCTGTATGGAGGGGTCTGATTCCTGAATGGGAGGGGCCTGATTCCTGGATGGGAGGGGTCTGATTCCTGAATGGGAGGGGTCTGATTCCTGAATGGGAGGGGGTCTGATTCATGGAGAACTGCAGACCTGCATACAAGTGATCTCAGCGACAGCGCCGAGATCACGTGTACAAAACAAGCGGCTGTACATTTAGCTCTGCTTGCCCAAAGCCGGCTTAAATGTAGAAAACAACTACCCGCCCAGAACTGCGTGTCCCGGGCACCGGGAGATAGGAATTCCACACCCCTGCTGCCCCTCTACTCCAGGGCCGGGCCTCGGTCGGCCTTGTGGGAAATCCGGCCCTGTCTGCACCGCGTACAATATTCCGAGGCGTCTCCGATGGTTACGCGGCGCCTTCTTCCTTCCCCCAATTTCTAGCGCTCAGAAAGCGTAACCACCAACTGAAAGCGTTTCCTCAACAGCTGGACGTGTTTTGCCAATGAGGGAGATTACAACAAATCACTTTGCTATTACACAAGGAAGGTTGTCACACTCGGAGCCACTCATCAGAACGTGACCACTGAGGCTTGTTCCCTAAAACGGATGGGAACGGGCAATTAAAGAGACCCTGTCACCTCTGCAGGCGGCTCCTGTCATTAAAATGTAGGAACTGAGCGATTCCCGGTCCTGCGATTCATTGTAGTTTTTTTCCCTTTTTCAATATGGAAACTGTATTTTTTTTTTATATGTTCATTACACATGTGCACCAGCAATTCACACAGCGCTTTACATACTGTGCGTTTGCATCGGTCTCTGCTCTCAATGCTGACAATCTAAGGTCCCTATGTGCATACGTACACACAGGGAGGATGCTAGGATCTGGGCACCCAGACTGAAAGGCTACGCTTCTACCACAAGGTTTCGCTTCTGTTTGATATTTCTTGCAGTGGAGTCACAAGGGGGGTGCGGCCCGCACCCGGGTGACACCATTGGAGGGGGTGACACCAAAATGACTCAGTCATTTTGGTGTCACCCCACTCTGAAAAGTCGGGCGCTCGGTCATGGACCGAACGCCCGACAGTATCAGGAGAGAGAGGAGGGGACCCGGCGGCATACCTTATCCAGCCGGATGCCTGTCCCCTCCTCTCTCTGCCGGCGTCCATCACCAAGATGGCCGCCGGCAGGTACCAGAATACTGCCGCGCGTGCGGCTGTGTGACACTCGGTTACCGCTCCGGGTGTCACCCAGCCTCGGGACGCCCCTGATTTCTTGGCTGCCCTCACCTTCCGTCCTACACCCTCTTAGAGATCAGACATTAGGACTCTGTCATTTCAATGACGCATATGCCATGTAGGCCCAGGGCACCCAGTAGAAGACCTGGAGCATGTGCCCCGGGTACCAGGTGGCGGTGCAGATTCTATGGTGGGCTGTGCGGACTCTCAGGTGGGCTACGCGGACTCTGAGGTGGCTGTGCAGGGTCTATGGTGGGCTGTGCGGACTCTCAGGTGGGCTATGCAGGTTTTATGGTGAGCTGTGCAGACCCTCAGGTGGGCTACGCGGACTCTGAGGTGGCTGTGCAGGGTCTATGGTGGGCTGTGCGGACTCTCAGGTGGCTGTGCAGGCTCTATGGTGGGCTATGCAGGTTCTATGGTGGGCAGTGTGGACTCTCAGGTGGCTGTGCAGGTTCTATGGTGGGCTGTGCGGACTCTCAGGTGGGCTATGCAGGTTCTATGGTGGGCTGTGCGGACTCTCAGGTGGGCTATGCAGGTTTTATGGTGGGCTGTGCGGGCTCTCAGGTGGGCTGTTCAGACCCTCAGGTGGGCTACGCGGACTCTGAGGTGGCTGTGCAGGGTCTATGGTGAGCTGTGCGGACTCTCAGGTGGGCTACGCAGACTCTGAGGTGGTTGTGCATCCCTCCCTGATTACAAGTGCCGGAGACTTTACAGGCAGCGGGCCGACAGCGCCGGTGATGTCAGGACTTTGGGGGGTTTGGGAATACAGCGGCTGTATGCTGGGGAAAGCCTTCCATACTCCAGGAGGTGTCCAACATGGAAGAGGATTGCAGTGCCTCTTGTTGAGGAAAGGGATCATGAATTTCTATATCAAAGACAGCATCAGTTTTATATGTTAAAAGCTGAACCCCGGGTTACCCCATCCACCCACTTAAATGCTAATTAAAGGAGTCAGGGCTTTTCCCCATAGTTCTCCTTAGGGTAACGGGAGGAAACAAACTAGCG